CCACTGAAGCCTGGAGACTTTTGGAGGTGGAAACGAGGAGGCAAGGGTTGGGTGGACGACCTGTTCCAGCAGGACAAGGCACAGTGACGCTGCTGGTGAGCACGTGCCAGAAGGCCTTTGCAGGTGGGGTCAGACCTTTTATGGTGAGGATCTCATTTCCGGGAGAAGAAAAACCTAAAAGCCACCCAAGGAAGACAGCGCTATTCCTTACCCTCCTCAAGCCATGCAGTTCTCACTTGTCCCTGCAGAGGTGCCAGTGGGCACCTGGACTAAGCTGCCCTCATCTCTTCAAGAGCCCCAGGGCCGTGTCATCCTTTAAGCAAAGGGTTCAGGTTTTGGAATCCATCCAAAGACTCTTCAAAAAAGAGGCTGGGTGATCAAATCGTGAAAACTCAGTTCTACCCTGATAGCCATGGGGTCATTATGAGCCGGGGTCGACTCAGAATGTGGGTTCGCTTTTTGGTTTTCTCTCAGCTCTTACTCGGTTCTGCCACTTGCACTCAATCAGGGTCATCAGCCCTCACCATAATCATAGTTGGGAGAGCAGGCCTTCCTGGGTCTCAACCCCACTGTCCTCTAGGGCCTTGATCTGAGCCTCATTCTTGTATCCCTGATAGGTAACCAGGGCCTCTCTCCCTAGCCATAGCAGACAGAGAGCCCAGGGCTACAATACCTAAGAAATGGTTTTAATTCCTTTGAAAAGTTGGGGGACATGGGAAGGGGGAATAAAATCCAGCTTGGATTGTAATCGTCTCCATACACTTGTAGTCATAAAAGTCATCTTTTCATCTTTTTTAATGGGGGAAAAGGCCCATTCGCATTGGCCAGAACAATAGCTGCATACCAAGTACCAGGAGAAGTATTAATTTGCTCAAGCAATGAAATCACATCTGGAACGGCAGCTGCAATTGGAGTCACCACCTGGTTAAGTTTATGATAATCCACTGTCATTCTCCGGGATCCATCTGTCTTCTTTACGGGCCAAATAGGTGAGTTAAACTGGAATGTGGTAGGAATCACCACCCCTGCATCTTTCAAGTCTTTGATGGTGGCACTGATCTCTGCAATCCCTCCAGGAACGCGGTACTGCTTTTGGTTTACTATTTTCCTAGGCAGTAGCAGTTCTAATGGTGTCCAATTGGCCATTCCTACCATGATAGCCCTTATTCCACATTCCAGGGATCCAATATGGGGGTTCTGCCAGTTACTAATTATGTTTATTCCAATGATGCATTCTGGAACTGGGGAAATAACCACAGGATGGGTCCGGGGGCCCACTGAACCCAGTGAGGCATACCTGAGCTAAAACCCCATTGATAACTTGACCTCCATAAGCCCCCTCTCTGACTGGTGGGCCTTTGAAACACTTTGGGTCTCCTGGAATGAGAGCCAGTGTCCAGTAATCCCTAAAAAGTTTGATTATTTCCTTTCCCCCAATGAGCAGTCACTCTTGTGAAAGGCTGCAGGTTCCTTTGGGGAAGACTAGAAGAAAGACTAACAGTATAGACCTTCGGTGATGTAGCTGGGTCCTCCTTCAAAGGGACCCGGCCTCCCCCTCATTCAAGGGTGGGTCTGTAAACTGGCTCAGGTCTGGGAATTGAGTGATCATGACTGTCTATTCTGCTGTTCATCTGATCTAGCATTCTTCTGCCTGTATAGATCTCATAAATATTTAGTAGGCTTCCCATGTATTTCACTCCTAGGGACACCGTGGCTAAGTAGCCATTGCCATAAGTCCACACGAGACAGGTTGCTTTGATTACTATGGAAACCTTGCTGTCTATTATAACCACGCCCACCCTGTCTCTGCTGATGCAGTGCTGACACCTGCCCTCTACCACCACGGAGCCCAATCAGCTCCATTGTGGGCAAATGTTGGAGTTCGCTTAGGGCAGTTCCCACTGTTAATCCTGGTGCACATAAAATAGCAATTACAGGAGTCTTAAGAGATGCTGGGCCCACTTCATGGTTGTGGTGAAGGGTATGTCCTCAGGACACCCTCTTCTGGGGTTTATGGGAATATCCTGATAGATCCATTCCAACATACCAGGTTCCCTAAGCTTTTGGATGCTTTCCTCTATGGTATACCAAGGTCGGTCATGCACCTCAAGTTGGTCTAATTTAGGCCATCTGGCAGACCATGCTTTAGTGAACCAACCAAATAAGGAATTAGATCCTCTCTTAGCCTCTCTCATTGAGACACTGAAAGAAGAATCTGTGCTTTGGGGTCCAATATCCAGAAACTCAGACTGGTCTAATATTACATTTCGTGCACCAGTATCCCACACCCTTAGTAACCATTCCCAGGGATATTCCCGAGGCTTCTGCTTGTACGTATTTGAAAGCTCGAGCAGATCTTTGTGAGTATAGCGCACTTCTTCTTGTGTAATCATCTTAACCTCACCTTTAGGAGCTTTCTGAGCTTTAATTTTAGTTATAGGTTTAAAGGAAATAATGGGTGGTGAGGGTGTTTCCCGGGTGCTCTCAGCAATATCTTATAAGGCATCTCCCTCAGGCAATACTAGAGATGCAGCCCCACCTGGCATTTCAGCTTGAACAGTTTGGCTAATCTGCTCAGGTGTGGGTTGTTTTATTGATAGTGGATTAATGCCTTCAGCTTGGAGGGGTGGATCTATTGACTGGGGTGGGTTAGTTGTTTCTAGGCGCTCAATATCCTCCTCTTCTGGATCATCAGCCCATATGTTCCCATCCCATGTTTCAGGGGCCCAACTTCTTCCTATCAATGCCCTCACTTTGGTATCAGACACTGCTCTAGATCTGCAATTCAGTTGATGTTGTAATTCAGCCACTCGCATAGTGAGACTCTAGATCTAGTTCTCAGCAATGTTAGCTATTATGAGAGAAGGCTCTCCTTTGTAGCACAGGTGGAAGCTTTTAAGCCTCTAAGTCAGCACCTGAGGCATGCTTCTGAGACCCTGAGACCATCCCTCTCCTTAATCACACTTTCAGTTGTAAGAAGGACCAGCCAAACAGCTTCCTTATACTTGCCATCATGACAAAACTGCTAGAAAATATCAAACATACGATCACCCAAAGCCTCTCCCTTTAACCAGCACCTCATCTATCGGTGGTGCTACTGTAGGTATTACATTTTCTATTTCACACCATGGATTAGTAAGAGTGGCAGACTTATCCATGCCTTTAGGTGTAGAAATAGCATTATCAGTGCTATTTAATCAGGCTGGAGAGCCAATTTAAGAAGCCCATATTTATGCTTTTATTTCTCTAGAAGCACTCCTTGTACCAATGTGTTAGACAGGGTTCTCTAGAGAAACAAATCCAAGACACTAATAATTATATAGATAGATAGGTAACATAAGAAACAAACAGTTAATTAATCTATAAAGCAGTACAAATGGCTCAGTGCAACTCACTTCCTTGAGACAGCTAACACACTGGCAGTCCTTCAAGTCTTGAGGGCCGCCACAGAGTCCTCTGTAGAGCAATTCAGGCTATCCGGCCACAGGCAGCAAACAGAAGGGCAGTTCAACAGTCAGCCAGATGACAGGGTCTGACAGATCCCAGCTCGGGATGTATATTCCAGTAGTGTGGTGAAGCAGGTCTTGAAGGAACTTCAAACTACAGCGACACAGTCCATGGGTTAGGTGTCCCACAGGAAGTGTAGCTTGCAAATGGAGGCGCAGAACAAGCAAGGCAGCTTCACCCTGGGCCGGTAATCCAAGAACAAGAGACGAGAGAGACGAGGCTCATAGAGCCATTTATCTCTCTGCCCTTCAATTAATCCCACGTGTGTTCATTGGCCATGTTGGCAAAATAAACCTACCTATCACACTCTTGGATACAACCTTTGAAGAGGGTAAGTCTCAGACAGGACATAGGAGATGGGCCTACATTCTCCTGTGGACCCTCAACCAACCCTCTCCTGTCTAGCTCTACCTGGTTTGCCACCTTCTAAGGGTCTGATGTCTCAGCTCCTGAATCTTGCTTGCCAGGGTTCTTTGATGTAAACTTGTTTTCTGCTTGCTGGACCTTGGGTTCGGCCTTCTCTGCTTTGCTCTGCCACCTACTGCTCACCATCTGCTTGCCCTCCTCTCAAAATACGTTGACGATCCTTGCCTGAGCCTTTATGAGCCTCCAGAATAGTTTAGTTTGATCAACGGAAGAGCTTCCCCTGTGACATGAATTCTTTATTTGCAGTATTGCCATTTCTTTCCCTCTTACTCCCTCCTCCCTCCCTTCCTTTCATCCTCTCACCCTTCCTCCCTTCTTGCCTGACCCCCTTCTCTCCTTCCCAGTGTTTCCTTCTCCTGTGTGTGAGTTCTCAATACCTCAGAATCCACTCAATGACACATAATACGGAACAGCAACAACTCCCCTCCCTCCTTCGCTCCTTCTCTCTCCCTTCCCTTTGCCCCTTCCCCTTTCTCCTTCCCTTCCTACCTCCCTTCTTCTTTCCCCCTCTCTCAATGCCCCCCCCTCAAAAAAACTCCCTCATCTTTAACACAGACATCTCCAAAAGATTACTTTTTTTTCTTTTAAGAACACGAGGCAGCGGGACACTATAGACTAGAAAATAAACACCATAAAAGCTATGCTGCTCTTTGTGTTTATTACAATAAAAGAGTGCATACCGAGAATGCTCCCAGGCGACACAAAATCTAGGCTTTCAGATTTCTATGGCCCTCCATACAGGTGAAAGATGGTTGTTTCTCCAGTTAATAAGTACAGTCCCACAGTTGTCACTTTCAGGTGGATTGTTGGCCAGTTGTCACTTTCAGATGGATCATCGGCCAATTGCCATTCTCAGATGGATCACTGGGCAGTTGCCATTCTCAGATGGATCACCGGGCAATTGCCATTCTCAGATGGATTGTTATTATCTATCCAGATTTGAACAGGAGAATGGCCATATAACCCAGATAAAAGTATATGAAATGTTCAGGTTCATGAGTAACAAAACTGCCAAAGTTTCTCCCAACTATGCAATGCCAGGCAGGGCCGTACCTGTTGTCAAACTCCCTCTTGATGTACATAGCGATGTCTTTCTCCGAGACGAACTCATCCAGTGCCCGAGAAGTGACGTCCACGGCGTATTGCTTCATTTCCTCTGACATGTCTACATGCCTCATCGAGACTGCGTTAGAAGCCATAGTTGCCCGGAGCACTGGAAGCATTGGCGCTGGGCTCCTGGTGTCAAGTAGGTGGGCGGGCTGGCCGGGAGCTGCCGGGAGCTGTTCAGTTGCAGATGGCAAGGGCTCTTCTGACTCCCTCAGCACTGTCAACTAGGTAGTAACCAGGCTGGGTGTGGCTGTTCATTGTGACGTCACAACGAGGGTGCACGCTCATTGGTTACCTCTTGCTGTGCGTGGAGTCAGGCCATCTGACGTCCTCTTGACATCACCCTGAGTATGGGCGTGGCCAAGCGCAAGAGCTTGGCTGAGGGCCTGCCTTTCTTGCCGGGACTTTGGGCTCTTCTGCCCTATGTCCAGAGATCTGTTTCAGGGACCAAGACCTAGCTCACCCTACCCAGACGTGTAGATTTCACCCAATTGTCCTGGACAACGGACAGAAAAATAAAACCGTTTCCAAATATGTAACTCTCTATGGGAATAGGAACCCCAGGCTTTTTTGTATAGAGCGGCCAGTGGTTTTGAACAGCTGACCTTGCAGTTAGCAACTCAACGTGTAACCACTACACCACCAGGGCCTTAGCAATTCAATCTGTCAGCCTTTGTGAAAGCCTAAAAATTCAGGGTTTTCTCCTGGTGTCATGGGTTGCGCGTTAGGCTGCTAACAACAATGTTGGCAGTTCCAAATCACTAGCCGCTTGGCAGGAGAAAAATGAGACTTTCTGCTCCCGTAAGGATTTACTGTCTCAGAAAGCCACAGGAGTGGTTCTACCCTGCCCTATGGGGTCATTATGAGTTAAAATGGCCTTGATAGCAGTGTTTGGATTTTTTTTTCTTTTCTTTTCATTAGTGGCCACTTATCCCCTCCCACTCTTTCTGTCCCTGTCCTTTGGAACTTTGCAACCCGTGTTGTTACACCTCATGGAGCTAGAGACCGCAAGCTCTTCACTCAGAAATCTCCTCCAAAATGGGGAACCGATCGCAATGATCGACACATATATACCCTTTTCCAGGGGGAAGAACAACAGAAAACACGGGGGAGGGAGACAGCGGCCGTGGTAAGATATGAACACAATAATAATTTATAATCTATCAAGGGGGTATGGGGGGTGCAGGGAGGGAAAAAAAGAGGAGCTGATCCCAAGGGCTCAATAGAAAGTAAGTGTCTAGAAAAGAATGAAGGCAACATATGTACAAATTCACCTGATGCAAACAATGCATGGCTTGTAACAAGAGTTGTAAGAATCCCCAACAAAATGATCTTTTACTTTTAAAAAAGGAAGACAGAAAGCTTCTCCACGGTCTTCTAACCATTTTAGCCCTGAAGACACAAAGGGGGGGTGAGAGGGCTCTTCTCATCGCTAATGGCTCCTCCAGGCTTTCCTCCTCATTCATTCTGTTTTGTAAGAGATTTTGTATGCGATGTTGAAAGGAGATGTTGAAGGCTTTCATTGAGGCTAGTGAAGCTGCCCAAGAAGACCGACCCTAACCCTCTGGACTAGCCAAACTTACCTCCCAAAGATGCCTTCCCTAACCACACAAAGGAAAGAGGCTGAAATTCAGCCTCATCTGTTCCCCATGGGCCTTTGAAGAATTTAAATTGTATCCATTTATTGCTAAAAAACGGTCATAAGACAAACACTACCTCAGCCAGGTGATCAGGGTCCACATCGATAGCTTAACTCATTGGTGTCATGTGCCCTCATATGATAAGATGAGAAAACCTCTCTGATCCTCACCACAAAAACCCACTGCTCCAGTCTAATCATAAGAAAATCAGCAGACAAATCCATTCCTATCTCCCTTGCCAGTTTTCTTCACGCCCCCCCGCCCCGTACCTTCTGCCATGTAACATACTGCCTTTTAATTTTTTATTATTATTACATTTCAGATGTTTTTTATTATTGTTATTCAAAGGTTCTCACGAGAAATAAAACCGAGAAAGCTCACAATCTGATCCAATGCCCAGTTCAAAAAATGTCTTTTGGCATGTAACAACAAAGTCAGAGGAAACAAAACTATAGAGCTAGCTTCAACAGGAAATATAAATCTCCCCTGGCTGGCAGGCTTGTGGTACTAGTAAAACAAACAACTAACTCTTTTGATCATATGAAAATCTTCTTTTTTCCATCTGTATACAAGGTCTTTCTTCATAAATTAATGTTAAATAATTTAGTGGCTCTTCTACTATGTGATGCTTAACTGGTTTTTCCTTTAGATGTACAGGGGTTATGGTTCCCACATGTTACCCAGATAAGTATGGCACTTCGTGCCCACATTTCTAGCAGTAGATTGGCCCTCCTTTTTGTCCGAGTGATCAAATTTCCAATGTAACATGTAAAAATAATTGAGTAGTGAGCGACCCAAGTCCGGTGCTGTGTTCACTCTGAGCTTCCACAAAGCAGTAATGTTCTAAAGAGGATAGAGCCACTCTGAAAAAGGAAACAAACACAAAACACATTTCTTTTATGACTATGGAATTGACACCAGAAATCTACATCCACTTCTCAAAGCAGCCCGGACTTTTGAACGGACAAAATGTCACTGACATCTATATTCAACTGCAAGCATTCGATTGAAGCACTAAAAAATAACTCAAAAGAAGCGGGAGCACTAGTAGCCAATCATCATTTTGCTTTTATTCACATTTCAGCTAATGTTTGAAGGTAAAGCCTTACTTTTAACTTTTGCCATTTGCTTTCAATAACATGTTCTCCATTTGCTAGAGCTCAGGTATTATTCTAAAACAGTCTTTAGTATAAAGGAAGGACAATGCATTTGGTGACTGCTCTAGCCCCAACCTCTGGCCCTACTTCAAGCCTCAAGGGTACCTATGCTAAATCTAGACAATCGAGTTAAGCAGGTGTGTGTGTGTGTCTTGTTTTGTTTTTATTGAAAAAGGCAAAAGAGATTTTACATCATATTATACAGCAGATATCCTACAACAGTGAAATTATCCAAGTCAGGCCTTCCAACCAATCTACTCTATTAAAAGTTTCCCAACTCAGAAATTGTGTTGCACAGAAAGCGTCTTACCCTTCTTGCATTTGATTTTGTGAAAAATCATGAAGACCACCTCCTCTATGTTTTAAAAAGCCAGAATTTCAACCACTTCCATTGACTACCTGTTAAAAAGCCCTTCCCTGCTTTATAAGATGGAATAGGCTTGCTTGTCTGGTCACAGAGAAAGGAGAAGCGACCTAGTCACTGTATAGAAGCTGGAAACTCTGAGCACCAGAATTAAATCGGCCTCAAACAATGTAAGGCCAGTTGGAATTCATAGACAAGGCCTAGACACTTCACACTGTGTTGAAAGGGCAAAAACGGATCGCTGAGGGAAAAAGTGGTGGGGGACACGGAAGGGCAGTGACACGTGCATTGCAGGTGCGGGATGCCATTGACGAAGTCAGCCTTCTCAAACTTCAGAAAGCCCATTTCATACAGCGCTTGAGAACAGAAAGTGAATGAAACCACTAAAATCCATTCATGCACTTGGATATCTTTAATGGTCTTTGTGCATACCCAGAACCTGAAAGTGCTTTTTCCCCTTGTTCTCTCTCTCTCTCTCT